TATGTGTTTGTTCGTTGCTTATCTTGAACGTTACAGCGAGCGGTCATAATGGACAATAACAAGCAGTAGACATCGTCTTTATTTTGAACGTTCACGACAGCAGACTTTTTTATAATCCATTTAGGTAGTTCACCGAAGCTGGATCGTCCACGCAATGGATTATATTTATTTATGTTCACTTCTAAATTGATGACGTCAACTAATCTCCAGCCTGAGTCTATTTCCTGGAACTCATCCGCTTTCACAAGAAGTTTTTCTCTAATATGCTCCTCGAACCACTGTTTAATATCAGTTGAATCAAGAATTATTTCATTCTTGGTACTGAAATATTTTTATTCTTTAATGAGATGTTCATCTCTATCAATTTCATATTTACACGTTAACACTACATTCACTTTCAAACTTCCTTCTTGTTTCAATGCATTTTTCAAACGTACACAGAGCATTCGTCTAGCATCATCTAAAAATTTGGGTATATCTGGATTTTTCACGTTAATGATTACACCGGTTCTCATACGACCCTCAAAAACACTTTGTAAGTCCTCCCATCGGACTCTATCAGTTGAATTACCCCTTAAGTCTCCTCCTATCACTTCCAAGTTTCTGAACCTTGCATAGAACGCTTTCAGTCGTCCTAACATGTCAGTTAAACGTCTTTTCTCACTATGATTCGCACTCCGCTTCAATAATGCATTAATTTCTTTCGAATGTCCTCTGATGTGAAAAAATGTCTTGGATAACATTTTATCTTTGCGGTGCGATAAGACATCAAATTGTCTGAAAACTCTGCTCCAGTTTGTCAAACATCATGTTTTTGGGGATGTGAGTACAACGTGCTTTCTCAGGTAAACCGAAAAAGTCTATGTAAACAATAGATTGCGTTCGGACATCTNTTTCTTTTTTGAAAAAGTGACACAAACACCTGTCACATATGAGTGTTTTATNGTGAAAAAATGTCTTGGATAACATTTTATCTTTGCGGTGCGATAAGACATCAAATTGTCTGAAAACTCTGCTCCAGTTTGTCAAACATCATGTTTTTGGGGATGTGAGTACAACGTGCTTTCTCAGGTAAACCGAAAAAGTCTATGTAAACAATAGATTGCGTTCGGACATCTTTCAATGCATTTCCATCCTTATCAGTTTGCAGCAGATGAAGATTTTTTGGAAACTCCTCCTACTACAACGTGTACAATTTGTCGAGGACTATGCCAAATTGGTGGAGTTAACTAAGTTTTTGGATGACTGATCCTTAGCATAAATATCCGATCGTGATACCTTTGCATAACTACATTCTCCCTCCCCTTCTGAACCCTTCTTTTTAAAATAAATATTTATATATTGATATCGTTATTAACAACAATTTCACAGGAAGGGTGGGCGGCAAACGAGAAAGTACCGGAAAACTCAAGTTCAGACATGCCTGGAAAATGTCAAGTGGAGCCAGGTGTCATTGTTTGAAGAAGAGCCCCTTCTATGATTTCTACAGCAAACTAGAACAGCAAATTAGTTAACCCTTCCACACCTCGCGGTAGTGTACTGAGAAGTTCGGGTGTACTAATTGATTAATTAATCGATCGTCGAATTTAGCCGTGATCTGCGGAATTAATCTGTGATTCGAACCGCGACCTGCGAATTAATTAACCGCTTCACTCACCCCCTCGCGGGGTGGATTGACTAGGTCACCGAGAAGGTCCTCTGTAACGCAAAACCGCGAATTAAATTGATTAACCAGTGAATTAAATAACCTTTTCATCACTTCGAGGGAAAAAATCGCGATTCATTATGGGAATTGTGCTGTAAAGCATAACACACGGCTTGCAAAGGCTCGTGAGGTTGTGATGGTAATACTCCTGGTGGACCTCGTCCACTCTACCGTGTCACACTGATGCTAGCAGGGCAATCCGTTTTCCAGCCACAAAAGTCCTCCGAGTGGGCGAGTTTGCCTCGGAGGCCGGTTTTCGTCAAACCTCCCGTGAAGGTTCGGCTGGCGCCCAATTAGTAAGCGATAGAGACGGCTAAAAAGGAGATTGGATTTTTCCTGGGTGAACAACCCGGGAAAATATCCTTACAGCTTCAATATTTTAGCTGAAATTAATGAAAATTAAATGTAAAAAATTCATGAATTAATCATAAAAGTTGACTACAACTCCCTCATCTCAAAAAGATGCCAAACAAAAACTGAATGCAGACACTATAATCGACGTGTTTACGAGAGAAATCAAGACAAAGAGCTATATTTCGTAATTTTATACAAAATTAATAATATTTTGGCTTTGCACACTTGTCAAGATATGAGAAACCACCTTCTCCTAGGATGGACTCCAACCTCGACAATAAATGCTACTAAATTGACTAAAAATAAACCGAATTAACTAAAAATGTTGCGGACAATACTAATTTTGCGACTACATCTCGCGTTGGCTAGGAGATGACTCTGCCGAAGCGTAGATTGAATGGCTTCGACTACCTGTGTGGGTAACAGCTCTAAATATTGGGTGTATGACATAATTTTTACAGATTTTTCATCAAATTTATTTTATAAAAAAAAAAGCGAGCAAGGAACTTAATCTTTGTTATGACCTTGGGCCATCTCTCTGGTAACATACGAATGCCGTGCCGAAAGAAATTTGTAGGCTTCGAGACGATAAAGTCATCGACGAATTTACGCACATCGTCCTGCGTTTTGAACTTTTTATTCACTAAGGCATGCTGCATTGATCGGACCAAGTGATAGTCGTATGGGGCCAAGTCTGGTGAATATGCCGCGTGCGGGAGAACTTCCCATCCCAAGTTCAAGAGGGTCTTCTGAGTCGCGCGAACAACGTGAGGTCGGGTATTGTCATGCAGCAGTATGACTTGCCTGCTTCCTTACCCAGTAAATGACCTCTTCCGATCACGTTCTTCGCTCAGTTTATTCAATTGTCGGCTGTAGCGTTCCGCAGTCACCGTCTGACCAGTTTCCAGGAGTTCATAATAAAGCATACCCTTCATGTCCCACCAGATACACAGGAGAATCTTCTTTAAGTGGATATTCTGTTTCGGCGTTGATGTACTGGGTTGCCCGGGATCTACCCACGACTTTTTACGTTTGGGATTCCCGTAAAAAATATACTTTTCATCATCGGTCACAATTTTCCACAAGAAGTCCTTTTTGGTTGCTGGTCAAGCAGTGAACTGCACGTGTTCATACGTTGACCTAGGTTGTGTTCGGTCAACACATGTGGGATCCACCTTGCAAGTTTTTCGATTTTTCCCATTTAGTACAAACGCTTGGAAATAGCTGTTTGGGTGACTCCTGACTGAGCAGCAACCTCTTGTTGCGTTTGCATTAAGTCTTTATCAAGTAAAGCTTGTAATTCCGCATCTTCAAACTTTCGAGGCTGTCCAGGGCGCGGCTCGTCACTAAGATGGAAATCACAGGCTCCAATAGGTTGTGACGCGTGAGAGCCTACTCTCTCCACGACGAGACGTAAGCCGTGATTTATCCAATAAACCAGTGCTCCTATAATAAAACGTGTTTACGAATTATTGTGTCCACACCCACCTTCTAACAGGTTATGGGCACAGAGCACGCTTCCTAGCGCACTCTAAAACTGAAAAGTGGAGAAGAAAAATAAAAGTGATAGTGAAAAATAAGGACAATCCCTCAGGAACATAGTGCCAAGTGTCTGGTGGTCTGAGGTAGCGAGGAAAGGCGCGGGAAGGCGAGAAAAATGGAAAAGCCAGAGGGAGAAAAGCGTGAGTACAGTTGAATGTACTACACAGATAATAAGCGTCTCCCAGACAACGAACAAAGGTTGCGTCATCACGGGGAGATTAGCGGGAACAACGTGGACGCTGGGAGATAAAAGATGGCGGACAACAACTGTTGACCAAACCATCAAACGAAATTCCAGGGAGAAAATGAAAGTAAAATATTTAATTAGGGAATTACAAATCTCAATGAAAATTAAAATAAAAATAGATTGAAATAGGTGGAAATAATATATGATGAGGGATGAGTTAGGAGATTTGTAACATGGTGAGGGACGCGTCCGCCACGTAGAGAATTGGTGAGAGAAGCGTCCAAGTATGGAGAATCGGTGAGGGACGCGAACAGCATAGAGAGTCGGTTAACGCGGTGGGTGCGTGCGCAGCATTGGTGGGGACAGTGACCAGGAGTAGCTGCAGTTAAGCAGTACACGCAAAGCTTGAGCGAATGGTGAGATGGCGAGATGTAGAAAAAAGAAGGGGGTCACGTGGTTCTTCGCCTGCGCGCGCGCATCGCAACCGCGGCCGGCCGGAAAACTAACACAAAGTTGAAATTGAAGCGAAATACAAAACGAGGCGAGAGTGCACAAAAATGAGAATAGGTCTAAATCAGCGAACTAATATATAAATTACCGCAGGTGACGACTTATGGGAGCTGTGGGGCAAGTTAACCTTCCTCTTCGGATTCGATGAGCTCCACAGAGGAGAGGACATCATCCTCGAAGTAGTAGAGGAAACTTTACTGATAAAAACTGACACGATAAAGTGTTATAAGTTTGGTGAGTTGAGATGAGATAAAGAAGAGTTAAGATGAGAAATGCATGCGATTAAAGTGCTTGTGAGGATATCAGCTAGCAAATATCATGAAAAACTAACTAAGCACTCAAAATGATCAAATAAAATATAAATACTAGTTAAAAACTAGTAAAAAACAGAATGAAATCTGAAGTATAGTTCCTCCAAAGGGGTGATCAGTGGAAGCGTGCTTGTGTTCAGCGCGGTAGAAAGTGATCGGCTCTTTCGGGCATAGGGGATATTGTGTTCATATCTCATTTGTGCCCGAGTGTCCTGATGCTGAGTATACTTGTGTTCGCTTGGTCGGCAGCGGGACACAATACATAGGGTGAAAATTCTAACAGATATAAATTATATTTATCACAACTGTCAAAAGCATGATGTCGGAGAACCACTGGAAGCTACTGATGGAGTGACATTAGCAAAAGCTCCACGCCAACGAACCTCCCATCATGCCAAGAACGCACGAGGAGAAACCACCAATTACTGCCGAGGTGAGTGAGACGAGCAACGGTGAGGAGAGCAAAGGTGAGGATGGTGAGAACGGTGAGAACGGCGAGGACGGTGAGAAAATTGGAAGTGCGTCGGCTGAACAAGGTACGGAACAAGCGACAGTAATTGAGGCTCTCGAATCAAGTAAAAGTAAACCCCAGATTACAAAAGTCGAGAAAGTCGAACCCAGAGTTGACGTAAGGTCCACATTACAAAAGCACCCGAAAAATCCAACGAAATACCACGCGAACAAACCAAGAATTGAAATTCAAGTGGAAGGCAGACTTGAATCATTGTGCTCGAAACTTGATGCTGTGACCAGCACACTCGTAAAGATCTCGACTATTGAGACCAACACGAGTGGCTGATTACTAGACAGCATCAAGGAAATGAGAAAAGACGTGAGCGAGATGAGGAACGGACGTGATGACAGGCTCTCCGTATCGATTACGGGATCGAGAGATTATTGAGGAGGGCTGGTAAAAAGGTGAGAAATGGGTCAGATTTACCAGATGATGGCTATGATTTAGATGAGGATAAGGAATTAGAGGCGAGAATTGAGAACCTTCTCAAAAGACAATGGGAAAATTTAAGACGAGAAGAACAGAGTCAAAGTAGTGACAGCACTGGAAATAGCACTGCTAAAGAAGTTGTTGAAGTTGCTGGACCTTCAGTTAAACGAGACTACAAATTAAATATTAGCACTAGATATGAACACTTCTATGACTATTCCAAGTCAGAAGTGAGAACTCACACACTCCTGCATGTCTTAGATAGTATTATAGAATTCAGTAGAGATCAAAAGCCTTTCGATGAGCATAAATTTAAGGTGAGAGATATATTCATCACATAGACCAAAACTATCATTCTAAAGTAGTATTACTAGAAGATCCAGTAGCTATTCTGGATAAACTCAAGAAGATAAAAAGATATGGAACTAATGTGTTCACATTTATGGTGAGAAAAGAAATCTCCAACATGCAGTATATAATTGGAAAGATGACAGCAGTCGAGTTTTGTGAGAAGTTCGAGGAGGCAATTCGAACTTACAAAAACTCTGCAGATACCACCCCTTTATCCGATAAGGAGAAAACGGATGCGGTTAACAATGCCATCATAGAGTATGTAGAGTACGTACAGTCCTCAGCTAAACTTAAAGGTGAGCACCCCAACTTATGAACAATTAAAACTTGTTGTTATGCAGGAAGAAGTGTCAAGGAAACAGTCTGGAGAGGGGATCAGTGAGGTGAGAGCTGCGAACCTCACCGGATTTAAGGAGAGATATTTCGAGTGCGAGGACTATGGGCACCTCGGCCGAAACTGCCCAGGCAAGGGTACGGGCAGACTGTGTGACGGCTGTAAAGGCTACGGAAATATAATTAAGGAATGCCCGAACTCAAGTGAGACAAACAACAAGCCAAAATTTAACGTAAGACACACAAATTCGCGGGGAAGTAGTTTTCGTGGATTTGGGCGTGGTGGTGGGTCATTGAAGAGAAGGTCAATTGGTTCAGGTGCAAATGATCCAAAAGGCGTGAAAAAGGGGAAATATTACAACCTGAAGGGCAAAGAAGACAACCAGTACTCGAAGCCCAAGACCAGTACAAAGTCTAATAAGGAGGGCTCAAGCAAAACCTCGGGAGGAGACAACAAATAGAAGGGTGACTTAGATTCGAATGAGATAGAAGAGTGCATGGAAGTGGATAATGAGCTTTGTGAAGGTCAGACAATGCACGTGGGTGTGATAAATTTCAATAAAGACAAATTTATTACTGAATTCTTAGCAGATTCTGGTGCTACGGAGCACTTAACAAATTCAAAGTTAATCTTTAAGTCCCTCGATGAACAAAGGCAAGGTGTGATCAAATACGCGAATAAAAATAAACAAGCGGATTTGAGAACGGGAGAAGTAGGTCAGGTAGAAATCGAATTGTTAAACGGCGAGAAATTTGAAGTAGATGAAGTTATATATGCTGAAGCCCTTCAGGCTAACTTACTATCTCTAAGACGATTCGCAGAGATAGGTCTTATGATATATCTAGATGACAAGAGAATAGACACTTTCAATCCAGCATCATACGAGTCATTTATCTCAGGCGTGTATAGAAAACCGCATTGGATAATAGATTTGGAAGTAAATAAGTACAGTCCACTCAGTAAACAAATACAGAAAAGTACAACTAGATAAGTGATAGTCAATATGGTAGATGGTGAGATAGAGGTGAGTAGACACATGACGCGAAGTATCACAGCCAGGCAGAATGAGATTTCGGTGATGGAAACTCCAATTGAGAGCAACGAACGAATTGAAGAAGTATCTACAGAGGTGAGAAATAATGAGCAATCCGAATTCAGGCGAGATAACAAAACGGATAGTAAAGAAATTTCTAAACCGATTCAAAATCAATTCGAACAGTCCAATTTTGATTATTCAATCCGGGATAGAAAGATTAATAATGTAGACGAGATACAACCAGATGAAAGTACTGCGGATTTTGACCTGTTTGAAGTTGAGAAAAATAAATTTCAGGGTAATAATAAAGCCATGCTGTGGTATGCTAAGTTCGGTCATGCATCGATAGCATATCTCAAAGTTATGCAATCAAAATTCCCGGACAATAAAGAATTGAAAGCGGTGATTTCCGATGAGTCATTAATGGAGTGTGAAGTGTGTTTAGCTTCCAAATTTAACAGACTGTCATTTCCTAAGGTGAGAAGTCGAGCGACAGAGCCCTTGCAGATAATACACTCAGACGTAATGGGACCAATATCTCCGAGTTCATATCCGAACGGATACAGGTATATATCTGTGTTCATTGACGATGAATCGAGATTTGGGATGGCATACCCGACGACAGCAAAAAGTGAAACGGGTCACTGCCTTGAAATATTAGGTGTACAAATTAATAAGTTGCCCCTATATTTCGCGGTTTATAATTGCGTTCAAAAACTTAATATTTCAATATTTTGTATGTTGGTAGTATTCAGTTGCCGAAGTAGTAAATACTGCTTACATCACCTTAAAAAATAGTAGTAAACACGATGTCTGTCGATAAGCAACATTTGAGGCACTGCATTCTTTTTCCATTTCAATTGAAGAAAAATGCTGCCGAGGCTACTCAAATGATTTGTAGTGCTCTTGGAAAAAACGCTGTAACACATAAAAAGTGTAAAAAGTGGTACCAAAGGTTTAGAGACGGAGATTTCGATCTTTCGGATCGAGAACGGCCGGGTCAACCGCAAAAATTCGGCGATGAAGAACTCGAACAACTTTTGGCTGAAAATTCTGCTCAAAGCCAAACAGAGCTTGCACTACAACTCGGAGTGACTCAACAATGCATTTCTCATCGACTACATCAACTTGGCAAAATTCAAAAGGAGGGTAGATGGGTTCCTCATGATCTGAGCCCCGAAAATAAGGAGCGACGACTGGAAACGGCGCTATCTCTGTTCACTCTATTTAAAAGCAAAGATTTCGTATACAAAATTATTACGGACAATGAAAAGTGGGTGTTATACGACAACCCTAAACGCAAAAAATCGTGGTTGAATCCCAGCGAACCATCGACGTCGACTCCGAAATTCAATGTCTATGTGAGAAAAGTGATGCTGAGTATCTGGTGGGATATGAAGGGTGTGATATATTATGAGCTACTTAAACCTGGCCAAACTGTTACTATGAAAGTTTATTACAAACAGCTTATTCATTTGGATGATGCATTGGAGCAAAAGAGGCCATATACTGGCAGCGCAAATAGACAAGTGATTCTCCAACATGACAACGCTCGACCGCATGTCGCCAAAGCGACTAAGGATATTATCTGTGAATTAGGCTTACTCACGTGGCTTACTCGTCTGATCTCGCCCCATCCGACTACCACCTATTTCTGTCTTTTCAACACCACCTAGCTGATGAGCACTCCAAAATAATCGACGAGGTCCGAAAAAGCATCGATGAATTTATTGAGTCAAAACCGCCAAGCTTCTTTCGCGAAGGAATTTGTTAGTTGTCAGTGAGGTGGAGTGAAGTCATCGAAAATAATGGGGAATATTTTGACCGTTAAATGTCTTTTTGTTTTTTATAATAAACTCTGATTTGCATGAAAAAAAGCACCTTATTAATTTGTACACCTAATATTTGTTAGAAGTGGCAGAAATCTGTTGGGGAACGACGCGAAGGTGTGTTACCTCAGGTCAGATCACGGTACAGAATTTACTGGAGGACATACAGTTGAGGTATTGCAAAAGTTAGGTGCGCAACTACAACTGGCAAGTTTTGATACTCCAGTACATAATGGAGTCGCGGAACGATATACCCAGACAATCCAGAAAAAAGTGCGTGCTTACATGTTCGATGCAAAATTGCCAGACAACATGTGAGATCTGGCTCTGTCTGCCGCTGTGTACACGTTTAACCGCACTCTTCATAAATCCAACGAGATGAGAACTCCATTGGAAGAGTTTGCGCCGGGACATAGCTTTGATATTAATCAGGTAAAGAGATTTGGAAGTCTAGCGTACGTGAAAGTACATAGAAAGATAGGACCGAAATTCAGGGCAGAAGGTGGGAGAAGTATTCTGGGTGGATACACTCCATCAGGGTACATACTACTGAAACCAGGAGAATGAAAGCTCTATGAAAGTAGACATGTTAGGTTTAATGAGAAAAATGTCTACGGTGACAAGTACAAGAAAGGTGAGATCAAGAACGTCCCAAAAGTTCAAGAAATGACAAACAAAGATAAGTGGTTTGTAGAGTTTGAAAAAGATGTAAATGATTTGAATGAGACATCCAAATTGGAGGGAGAGAGGAAGAGAAAGAGGGGTAGACCAAGGAAGGAAACCCCAAGACCTAAGGTGAGTGAGGTGAGCAAACTTTTAGGTGAGATGGTGCTGGATTCAAGCTTTGCAACATTACCAATAGATGCGAGCTTCAGAGCTGGAGTATTTCTGGCTTGTTTGTCACACGGTGAGAATGAACTAAATCTGGACGAGTCAATTAATTAGTTCTGTCATGCTCTTCTTGCCAGTATCAATTCAGATCCAATTAACTTTAAAGATGCGATGCAAAGAGAAGACAAGAGTAATTGGACACTGGCTGTAGAAGAAGAATTGAAATCGATGAGTAAAAATGAGATGTGGAGAATCGTAGACCGACATATCAGTAATCAAAATGGACAGAAAGCTAATATAATTGACTCTAGGTGGGTATTTAAACGCAAGGTAGAAGCAAACGGTGAGACGCGATACAAAACGAGACTAGTTATACGGGGATTTAAAGATTGAAATTTTTACGAGTTAAGAGAAACATATGCCCCGGTATCGCGAATGCACTTGGTTAGGGCCGTATTTGCTACTATCAACAAATACAACTTAGACACATGCCAATTAGTTGTGAAAACGGCATTCCTCAATGGTGAGATACATGAAGAAATCTACATGGAGATCCCTGAGGGGACTCCTCACTCTGATCAGGAGAGAGAGAGAACAAGTTGTGTAAGTTAGAGAAGTCTCTCTATGAACTTCGAATAAGTCCAAAACGATGGAATAAGGAATTCACAGAAGTGGGACTTGGCGTGGGCCTAGTGAATTCTAATCTAGAGCCGTGTGTCTCCACTTGGAGTTGTGAGGATAAAATTTCAATTCTACTATTGTACGTAAATATAATTATGGCGAGTAAAAACAAAGGTAAATTAGATGAGGTTAAACTAAAACTGAGTTCTGAATTTGTAATGAAAGTAATGGGTGAGCCAAAAGATTGTCTGAGCATTTCAATAAAATTCACATCCTCCAAGAACTCCAATGCTCACTATACAGGCCTCTAACCATAAGCGAAAGATGAGAGAATCGGATACTGATGGTGAGTTTTACATTGTAGCCGATAAGAAAATGAATTCTCCATACAGAGAAGTAGTGTGCAGCCTGTTGTACCTAGCAGGGGCAACAAGGCCAGACATTTCCTACGCGGTCAATGTTCTGAGTAGACACCAGGTGAGTCCAACAGATGAGGATTGGAGAATGGTGAAGAGAGTACTCAGGTACTTGAGAGGTACTACTGCTTTACGTTTGAGATATACAAGTGAGACAGGTGAGATTGAGGCATACTCAGACGTTAGCTTTGCAGATTGCAAAGGCTCATTGATCACGTGTGGATACGTGATTAAACTGTCTGGTGATTCGATTATTTGGAGAACTCACAAACAATCTTATGTGGCTCTCTCTACGTGTCAAGCCGAAGATGTTGTGATGAGCGAGGCGAGTCAAAAGATGTTATCGATATACAACTCCTTGAAATTAATTTTTCCACCTCCGTTACCTATGACCTTATGGTGTGATAATAAGGCGGCGACGTGAAGTGCTGAGACGGGTAGGGGGAATAGATTGAGACATATTATAGATGTCAAAGCTCATCATATCAAAGAATGTGTCAAGCTTAATCTGATCAAAGTAAACTGAATAAGTTCCAGGGAACAAGTGGCTGACGTATTCACTAAACCTCTTATTAAATAATGAATATAAATATTTAATAATTGTTTTGTTGTCTGTTTAGGAAAGAAGAGTACTTAAATTGAGGTGAGACCGAGGTTAGTTATGGCGAGAGGACTCCGAAGTCAACGACTCCGAGAGGGAGTGTTGGAAAGATGGCGCCAGCTCCCA